CTATGTGGGGATTGTGAGAATGTGATCCCACGGAGCCCTTTGAGTACTGAAGGAGTTGGTGTGTCTCCAGTGCTGAAAATAGGGCCTGACAGGGAGGCTGTTGTTTCTTTTCATTCAGGCAGCCGGATGGACTGGACTCCCCCGGTGGCTCTGGTGGTAAAGAGCCTGGCTGCCAATGCGGGAGACATAAGAGACGGGTTAGATCCCTGGGTTGGGAAGATCCCCTGGAGAAGAAAATGGCAACCCACTCCAGTGTTCTCGCCTGGGGAGTCCTATGGGAAGAGGACCCTGGTGGGCTGCAACCCACGGGGTTGCAGAGCCGGACACGTCTGAAGTGACTACACACACACACACTCACACACACATGACGGACTGGTGCCCCCCACCAGTGTCCACCCTGACCGTCCAGCCGCAGGGCCCCCCGAGAGGGCTGGATTCCTGCCAGCTGGGCGGAGAGAGGGAGCCCCAGCCCTGAGCTGCCCAGGGCCACGGGCTGCACAGCGGTCCCTCGGGGACGGGCGTGGGCCCAGGGCCCCCGTGCAGGGCGCTCCAGGCCTGCCTGGTGCCGCTGGCGTGCTCAGGGGCCTCTGGGGTGCTGGAGCCCCCGCAGCTGGAGTGCACCAGGCCTAGGCTTTCTGGTGGGTCTTCTGACCCCTCAGTCTTGGCTGGAGCATGACCTCTGGAGCGCACTGAAGACCCTCCACCAACTGAAAACTGCCCCTAGCCACTCATCCCGGCCTCAGGGTGCCGATAGGCACCCCTGCCCCTCACCTGGTCTCTCCCGACAAGAAGGCGCAGGTGGCGGGCTCCGATGGTTTCCCCTTGCTGTGACCCAGGCCCGCGACAGGAGGGTCCCTGCAGGGGTGGGTGGCGTCTGCCCAGCTGAAGAGGCTCTCCCACTGCAGAAGAGAAGTCAGGGTTCCTGGAGGGCCCTTCCCCGGAGGCCAGAGCAGAAGGACACATTTGTCTGTCATCTATGGGTAATGATGCTTCTGCAGTTTTTGTGCTTTGTGAAGTTATTTTCCAAATAATGAGTTAAAGTGTCCCAATGTAATTGGTTTCGGTGTTTGTTAAGCTGATGAGGTAAGTCCGGAACACCCCCAAGTTAGCGTGGCACCCTTCCCAGCAAGGTCTGTTCTTCTCCTGCCCTCCCCTTCTCCAGCCCACGGCCCCGCCCTCTGCCCCATCCCTGTCCTTTTGCCTTCATTCTCAGCCAGTCCTGGAGGATTTCTCTGCTCAGGGCTGTGGGCTCCGGCCCTTCTGGTGCAGGTCAGGACGCAACTGCTGCCCCTGTCTTCCCGCCTGGGGAGGGCCCGATCTGACCCAGCCTCCAGATGCTCCCAGCCCCTGAGGACGTTCCTGGGTGGAGGAGCGGAGGGGCCAGGCCCAGCGCTTGGCTCCTTTTGTCCCGAAGGCCCAGGAGTCCCTGGGGGGGCCCGCATGTCCTGGAGGCACCGTCCTAGGCATCTTCTCAGGTTTGGGAATTAGGTGGTATTTGAAAGCCGAAAGGGATGCTGAGAACCATGCCTTTGCTCTCGCAGAGTCTGCAAGTGGGAAACGCTTTAGAGATACCCCTCCCGGGGAATGAGGTCTGGGGATCAGGGATGGGGGCCCTGGGCCGGCCTCTCTGGGAGCCGCCTCCCTCCCCAGCCCCATCCTGCCCGCATGTGAGGTGGTGGCCACACCACATTGGCAATGTTTTGGGTTTTAGACGTTCTGCGAGGTGTTTAGTGGTACCTCCTGGTTGTTCTAATCGGTAGTCCTTAATAAGCATCTTTTGGCATGTTTATTTGCCTTCTACATAACATCTTTGGTGGGGTGTCCAAATCTCTTGCACATTTAAAAACTGAGTTGTTTTCTTATTGTTGAAGTTTGTATATTTTGGATACAAGCCTTTTGTCAGATATCTTTTCTTTTTTTTTACTATTTTTTTCTTTTTTTATTATCGTTTTTTTCTTTTCTTTTCTTTTTTGTCAGATATCTTTTGAAAACATTTGCTAGTCTGTAGCTTGTCTTTTCCACTCTCTTGGCTGTGTATTTTGCAGGGAAGAAATTTTTATTTTTAATAATGTTTGACATATCAACTTTTTATTTCATGGCTTGTGGTTTTGATGTATCTTAGAAAGTTACCACCAAACTCAAGGTCATCTTGATTTTCTCTTGTTACCATCTGGAAGTTTCATAGTTTTGCATTTTAAATTTAATTCTGAGATCTGTTCTGAATTAATTGTTTGGTTGAAATGTGTAAGGCCACTGTCTAGATTCTTTCCTTTTTCTTTTTTTTTAACTTTTTGCATGTGTATGCCCTGTTGTTCCAGGCCCATTTGTTGAAGATATTGTCTTTGCTTCACTGTCTTTCCTTTGCCCCTGTATCAAAGAGCAGTTGACTACATTTATGTGGATCTATTTCTAGGCTCTCTATTCTGTTCCATCAATCTGCTTGTCTCTTCTTTACCAGTAATACCACACCATCGTGATTTCTGAAGCCTTATAGTAAATCTTGAAGTTGGCTAGTGTCAGTCCTCCAACTTTGCTGCCTTTACTCTTGTGATGCTAAACTTTAGAATCAGTTTGTTGATATCTACAAATTAACTTGCTAGATTTCTGATTAGAACTACACAGAATTTATAAATAAGACTGAGAAGAACTGGCATCTTAACAACTTGAGTCTTTCTATCCATGAACATAGACTATCTCTCCATTTATTTAGATTCTCTTTGATTTTATTCATCAGAGCTTTCTACTTTCCTCTCATAAACATCTTGCACACATTATGTTAGATTTATACTTAAGTATTTCAGTTTTTTATGTTTATGTAAATGGTATTGTTTTTAGTTTCACATTTTAATTGTTTATTGCTGTTATATAGGCATATATAAAAGCAATTGGTCTTATTATATTAACCTTGTATCCTGAAACCTTGCTGTTATTATTAGTTACATACATCTTTAAAATTATTTTTCTAAATTTTATTTGCAAAAGAATTTTATTTCTTTTCAATCGATATACTTATATTTCCTTTTCTTGTCTTATTACATTAGCTAGGACTTCCCATATATACTGACTATAATTGATGAAGTGGCACATTTTTGCCTTTTTTCCAGTCTCAGGGTGGAGGGTATTTAGGTTTTCATAGTGAAGTATGACATTAGCTGTAGGTTTTTTTTTTTTTTGCAGATGTTGTTTATCAAGTTGAGGAGGTTCTTTTCCATTCCTAGTTTGCTGAGCATTTTTAGAAAAAAATTTGAATGGTTGTTGGATTTTGTCAAATGCTCTTTTATTCCATCTAGTAATATAATCAGATGATTTTTCATCTTTAGACTTTATATGATAGATTACATTAGTTGATTTTCAGATGTCCAACCTGGAATAAATTCCACTTGGTTGTGGTATATAATTTTTTAAAAGACATTGTTGGGTTTGATTTGCTAATATTGTTTATGATTTTTGCATCTATCTTCATGAGAGAGATTGATCTATAGTTTTCCTTTCTTGTGACATCTTTGTCTTATTGTGGTATTAGGGTGATGCTGCCCTTGTAGAATGAGGTATGAAGAGGCAGGGCCATGATGAGATGGTGGCTGCAAAGGTGGGGAGGAGACCTGAGGGCAGATGACAGCCAGATGTGGAGTGGAGAGAGGAGCTGGGGACACTCTCTGGTTACTGTCTAGGGGACGGTGGAGCCATGAGTACCTCTCATCACCTTGGCCACATCAGCGCACACTGGTATCACGATGCAGCTGCTTGCAGTCTGGCCCCACTCTTAGGAACATCCTTCCCTCCACTACTGACACCACATTCTTTTTTAAACCTCAGCTCTTGGCTGACCTCCTCCACCCTGTGCTCCCAGGAGCCCCACATCCATTCTTGGAGCAACTGAAGCCCCCACAGAGCCTCAGGGTCGCTCATACTTATGACCTGCCCACTGCCTCCCCAGGGGGCAGCCTGTGACTGAAGGGCTCCACTGACTCTTGAGGCATACCTCCTCCTAAGATGGGCTTCCCTAGTTTCTTAGACAGTGAAGAATCTGCCTGCAATTCAGGAGACCAGGGTTTGATCCCTGGGGAAAGATTCCCCTACAGAAGGGAATAGCAACCCACTGCAGTATTCTTTCCTGGAGAAGCCCATGGAAAGAGGAGCCTGGTGGGCTACAGTCTATGGGGTCACAAGAGTTGGACATAACTGAGCATACATGTGGACACATCAAGTCCACGAGGTCAGCAGATGTCTGAATATTCCAAGTGGAGATGGTGATGGAGCAGCTGGACATGATTCTGGACTTCAGGGGTATTGGAGAATGTCATAGAGAGAACCACCGGACTGACTGAGACCCCGCAGAAAGGTACGGAGAAAAGAGACCTTGGATGAGTGGCCTGGGCCCCTGTTGCTAAGAGACTGGGATTGTGAGGCAATAGCAGCTTGGGAGGTGGGGAGAGGTGGTCCCAGGGAGGGGATGGACAGGGCTGAGAGAGGAGGTGCTTCCTGCAACAGCGCTGCCTCCGCTCAGCCTGGCTGAGGCGGTGGGGCACGCATGGCTGAGACAGAGTGGTTTGGTGAAGTGCTGGGGCTGGGGCTTGTGAGGAGAGTGGAGGCCCTGCACCAGGTTGAGAGAGAGATGTCTGAAACTTCTGGACAATTGCAGTAATTCCCCCGGGCCCCAGAAAACACCTACAGACGTGGAATTCCTGCGCCCACCTTCAGAGGGATTTGGAACGAGCCCACACACTAGAACTCAGCTGCAGCTTTCTCCCCAGCTAGGTGCTGACCAGGACACACCTGCTGGGCCAGGAGACACCTGCCGAGGGGACAACTGCCGAGGGGACGCCTGCCGAGGGGACAGCTGCCGAGGGGACGCCTGCCGAGGGGACAGCTGCCGAGGGGACGCCTGCCGAGGGGACAGCTGCCGAGGGGATGCCTGCCGAGGGGATGCCTGCCGAGGGGGCAGCTCCAGAGGGGAAAGCTGCTGAGGGGACAGCTGCTGGGCTAGGAGGTACCAGCTCCTTGCTGGCAGCAGGCTCTGACCATGTCTGGGTTTTTGCCTGTGTTGGATTTTCAAGCCTTGTTTCCCCAGCTTCCTGTAGATGTGTGTCCAAAGTGTGTGTCCCCACAGGCTTCTCTGAGCAGCGGTGTCCTGCTCAAGGGCCAAGAGCTGAGGGCAGGTGGTCCCCCCGCCCAGCTCGGCAGCCTGTGCAGCCTGGGGCGGCTGCTTATCAATTGCCTCTTCTCTGACCTGCTGCACCCGAGGGAATGTTTTTCTTCTGAGTTCTGTTTCTGAGAAAAGTTTGTGTTCCTCAGACAGCTGGGGAATCCTTCGGAATCCCCTTGGTGCCCAATCAACTCACAGCTGATGAGCATTCCGGTCCAGAATAACGGGAGAAGTTTTTGGAGCTGCGCGCTAAGGGGCTGCCTGCCCTGGGGTGTCATTAAAAAGAAGGCAGGTGGGACTCTGGGGGCTGAAGGCCCGGGGTTAGCAGGTGGGGGGCCTTCTGGCTCATTAGCCCTAGGCGACATGCCAGTATGTCACGCTGAGGACGGTGAGGATCTTCCCAGTTAACAGTGACAGGTCATCCTTCCAGGGTTCAGCTCGGAGGAGACAATTAATTTCAAACAAGCAATTGCCTCCCAGGCGGGCAATGTCCCTCCTGAGAGAGAGGGTGTCTGCTGGGAGGCAGGGCCGCGGGAGGGGAAGGTTGAGGGAAAGGACTGTCTCCTCCTCCCGCCTCCAAGGCCACGGGACTGAGGCATGGAGAGTGTCCAGGCCTTGGCGGCCACCTGCTCTCCCGGTCCCCATGGAATCCCACTGCGGAGTCCTTCTGGCGGGTCTGCTGGCGGCCCCAGGGCACACCCAGGATTAAGCCAGCTGACCTCAGTGTGTGCAGGTCACACTTCTTCCACCTGTACACACCGGACCAAGGACCTGATGAGGCTGGAGCCCCAGATCCCGACGCCTCATTCCCCTGGGGGTCCCCCAGGGCAACCACAATGTCCACCACCTAGCAGATTCATTTTGCCTTTTTTTTCTTTCCATTTTTATATAAGTGGGATCACACAGAATGTGGTCTTTTGTGCCTGGCTTTTCCCCTTGAGGTAACGTGTGTGAGACTCTCCCGCAGTGATGTGTGGTTGTTGTTCGCTAGTCCTCACTGCTGGTTGTCCTCCACTGCACAGACAGACCACGGTTCATCCACTCAGTCATTGAGGTTGTCTCCGTCTTTCGGTTCTTATAGATTATGCTGCTCTGATAATTCTTATAATGTCTTTGGGAAGAAGACTCATGCAGTTCTGTTGGGCGTGTATGCGGGAGTGAACCTGCCGGGTCCCAGATCAGTGTGTGTCTGCCTTCACAGAGCACCATCTTCCCCGGTGAGTGCCTCAGTGTTCAGTCCCTTCAGGGGTGCAGGCATGTCCTGCATCCTCTCTGACAAGCAGTACTGTCTGTCTTCATTTTGACCAACGTGGAGGGAGTGTATCATACTGCGGTTTCATTTTGCATCTTCCTGATGACTAAGGAAGTGGGTCTGTCTGCTTGCTTGTTCACCATGGATATAAGTCAGACCTCCCTTGATCTTGGGTTCAGGAGAGCAGAACACAGCTTTCTGTTCATTCCCAGTGGCCCAAAGGATGGCACTGGGGCAGTCCTACTGATGTTCATTTCAGCATTGACCTGGTCTGAGGGTCGCCTTGGAGACGGTGGACCAGTCATGTCCTCAGTATGCTCCCCCAGCCTCTCCATTTGAAACACATGTGCTCGGCTAACAAGCTCCTTTCAAAGCAGATGTGTCTGTACGGCCATAGTATTGCTGTGAGCAGGTGATGCCTTACGCCAGCAGTCTCTGCTCGTGGGACCACGTGAGGCAACACCGCCATTGCCAGGAGCTGGGGTGGGGTCTTGCTCCCCCTCCCAGTGGCTCCGCGACCGTGCTCAGTCCCCGTGTGGGTGTGACCAGGCCACCCCCGAAGCACCGTGCGCTTGGCATGCTGGCCTCCTGGCAGGATGAGGCAGGGGTAGAGCCTCCTTGCAGGGGAGCCTCACGGCTGCACCACCGGCACAGCAGCAACCCTGGCCTAAGCCTCGGTCCACCGCCTCCTCGCACAGGAATGAAAGGACGCGGCCCGGCCACAGGGAGGCGGCCGGGCGGGAGGCACGGTCCCTGTGGGGAAGGAGGTAGTGCAACGGGTAGACACGTGTTATTTTTTCCTCTTTGAAAGTTAGTTAATTTTTAGTTGAAGTATAGTTGATTTACACTTCAAGTGTACAACAAAGGGATTCAGTTATACATATGTATGCGTATATACATTCTTTTTCAGGTCGTTTCCCATTACAGGTTATTACAAGACATTGGATATAGTTCCCTGTGCCATACAGTAGGTCCTTGTTATTTGTTTTATTTATAGTAGTGGGTGTATGTTAATCCCAAACTTAATTTATCCCTCAGCCTTGCTTCCCCTTCGGTAACCATGAATTTATTTTCCATGTCTGTGGGTCTATTTCTGTTTTATAAATATGTTCATTTGTATCATTTTTTAGACTCCACATATAAGTGATATCATATGATATTTGTCTTTTCTCTGTCTGACTTATTTCACTTAGTGTGGTGATCCCTAGGTCTATCCATGTTGCTGCAGATGACATTATTTTGTCTTTATGCCCAAGCAGTATTCCATTGTATACATGAACCATATCTTCTTCATCCAGTCATCTGTCAGTGGGTGTTTGGGTTTCCATGTCTTGGCTACTGTGAATAGTGCTGCTGTGAACACTAGGGTGTAATTGTCTGTTTTTGTTTCAGATATATACTCAGGAGTGGAATTTCTGGATCATATGGTAGTTTTATTTTTAATTTTTTGAGGAAATGCAATACATTTTCCAACAGTGGCTATCATTTGCAAAATATTTTTCTAGGTTGTCTTTTCATTTACTTGATGGTTTTCTTTGCTATGCATACAATGGACTATTATTCATCCTTAGAAGAGAAATAAACCTGCTGTATGTGACGACATGGATGAGCCTGGACGACATCATGCTTAGTGAAGTCAGCTGGGCACAGAGGGCAGAGCCTGCATGGTTCCATTCACTCGAGGCATCAGCAGCAGCCTGACTCACAGCAGCAGAGCAGAATGGAGGTGCCAGGAGCTCGGGAGGGAAGAGGCGTCTGTGTCAACGGCTGTAAAGTCTCTGTCGCGCGAGTGAGTGAGTGCTGGAGCCCCGCTGGACACGAGGTGCTCGTAGTCAGCAACACTGTATTTGCACCTGCATTTCCAACAAGGGGAGAACGAGGTGGTGATGTGGCCTGGGCTGGCCCCCGCTCCCAAACTGCACGGTTCCTGAGAGAGGGCAGGAACCTCCCCCCTGCCCCGCCCACCCAGAGCCAGGTCCTTGTCCAGCTAATGGGCAAGTGTATCTGGCTCTGTCCTAGGCGCACGGTACTGGGTGTGCACACAGGAGTGGGAGACACAGACCCTGTCCACTTGAAGCACACAGGCCAAGCGTTTCTCAGGAGTTGATCCATGGTTAAAAATAAAACCTGGACTTAGTTGCCAGTATTGCAAGAAACACGCTTTACAGACATTTTTTTTTCCCTTTTATTAGTTGAAGGCTAATTACTTTACAATATTGTAGTGGTTTTTGCCATACATTGACATGAATCAGCCATGGATTTACATATGAATTTACATATGTTCCCCATCCTGAACCACCACCCCCCCCCCCACCTCCCTCCACATCCCATCCCTCTGGGTCATCCCAGTGTACCAGCCCTGAGCACTTGTAAAGACAACATTTTAAAGAAAAACATTACAACTTGCACTTATATGGTATGAAATTTCTTCCTGGTAACACCAATTTCATCATTACCAATACACAAGGTTTACTTTTGTTAGAATTCACCTTACATTCCCTTCTGTAATATGAATAAAGATATTTTGAAAAGCAGATTTTGCAAGGTTAAGTAGTGGACGGGTTAGGTACGCAGTTGGCCAGAGCTGTCTGCGCAGAGGAGCTGCAGGCGGAGGATCACAGAGGCCCTGAGAGCAGCGGCGAGGGCCGTCCCACCCTCAGCCCCGCCACGTGAGGCCTTCTGGGCCAGCCTGCTGCCATCTGAGGGGCTCGTGTCGGGGGCCTGCTGGAGCGGAGAGCAGCCGGAAGGGAGCCGGGCCTCAGCCCCTGGCTGAGCGGAGACGAGTTCCGCCGGGTGCCGCGGCCGCCGATGTCCCCTGCGCCTTCTTGTCTGTGTGCTCTCCCTGAGTCTGTTTGGACCGTTTGCCTGCTGAAACATCTGAGGTCTCTGTGTTTTTCTTGGGCTTCAGATACAAGTTGCTGAGGTTTTACACCATTTTCTCTGTCAGGCTGGCTTTTACCTGTGCCTCTTGAAGAGAAGATTTTAATTTTGATGAAATCCAATGATACATTTTTTAAAATGGATTTTGGTTTTACTTTCTTAGCAAAGACATTTTTGCTTAACCCAAAGTAAACAAGATTTTTGTTAAGGTTTTTTTTTCTAGGAGTTTCAGATTTTATATTTAAGTCTATGATCTATTTTCGGTTTATTTTTATATTGTGTGAGTTATTGATCAAAGCCCATTTTGAGGAATCCAGATTTCCAATTTTTCCAGCAATGTTTATTCTAAAGACTCTTCTTTCTCCTTTGCATCTTTGCCAAAAATCATTTGTCTATTTCTAGCCTCTCTCTCCTGTAACAAACAGGCTTCCCAGGTAGGGCAGTGGTAAAGAATCCACCTGCCAAGGCAGTGGGTTTGATCCCTGGGTCAGGAAGATCCTCTGGGGTAGGAAATGGCAACCTGCTCCAGGTTCTTGCCTGGAGAATCCCGTGGACAGAGGAGCCTGGCGGCTGCAGCTCATGGGGTCCCACACCCGCCCCCTCTCTCTGCTCAGCTCCACAATCTGGGTCTGTCTTGATGCTGACACCTCACTGTCTTGCTCTCTGTGGCCTTATAATAAGACCTGAAATCTGGCTGTATTTTTCCAACTTTGTTGCTCTTTTGCAAAGTTGTTTTGAATATCCTAGGGCCTTTGCTTTTGATATAAATTTTAGAATCAGCTTGGCACTGTCTAGAGAAGCCTGCTTAGATTTTGGCTGCAATAATACTGAATCCACAGATGAGTCTGGGGGATTGGCATCTTAACACTATTGAATCTTTCAGAGAGACAGTGTGGTTTGGATCTCCATCAAGTGGGTTTCAATTTTCTCCACGTCATCTTGTGGTTTTCAGTGCATGGCTCTTGCACATCTTTGGTAAGATTTACACTGGCCTATTTTGAAATATTTGAAAAATATTTCAGTTTCCTATTGCTTATTACTAGTATATAGAAATAGAGTTGATTTTGAATATTGATCTTATATCTGTAACCTTATTACTCACTTTTTTATGGATTCCATTACCTTGCCCCTCCTGCTGGATGTGTTAGCTGGAAACAAAGACTTGTTCCTTTCCTGTCTGGATTCCTTGAATGTCTCTCCCACAGTGCTGGGTTGGCGAGACCCTACAATAGCCTGGACTGGGGGCAGTGAGGGCAGACCCCGCCTTGTTCTTGATGCTGCAATAGCGTGGACTGGGGGCAGTGAGGGCAGATCCCGTCTTGTTCTTGACGCTGGGCAGGTGCTCTGCAGATTCGCTTTGTCAGACTGGAGGGGTTCTCGTGTTGGTGGTGAGAGAGCTATTTAGGCAGGTTGATAAGGAGTCCAAGCCTAAGGCCCCTTTCAGGAGGAGGTAAACATTCTTTTTCGTTCTTTCACCTGAGACAAGTAGGCCTTGTAGGCACCAGTATCTCTTGCTGAAGGACATGCCTCTTTTTTGAACTTTGGATGAATGTTATGGAAGAAGGCCTGGGTAAAACTTTCACAGCCTTGAGCTCTGGGTTAACCTTCCTTCTGACTAATCTTGTGCTGATATCATCTCAGGATGTATGCTATGGGAAAGGGTCTGGGCAAAATTCTCACAGGCTTGAGGTATGTTTTATCTAGTCTCAGCAGCTGGTTGAGAAGTATACAGAACCCTGCTTAAGCTAGTGAGGTGGGTACTCTACTGTGCCCTTCTGATGTCTGTGTCAGAAGCTTTTTCTGTCATTTCCACTTTAAATAAAATCTACACAAAGTTCTGAGTGACTGAGACTGTCTTTGGTCCCAGAGTTAAATCTTCTCCTTCGAAGACCATGAATCTGGCAGCACTGATCACACTCATGATAAGCTATCAGTAGTTTGCTGAGAGTTTTTTCCAGGGATGAAGGTTTTCAGGAATGAATTTTGTCATATGTCTTTCTGCATCTGTTGAGGTGATTATATGGTTTGTCCTTTAAAATCTGTTCTTATGTTGTTGATGTTTTAAAGTCTTTTGTTATTTTAAGATCTGTAATAAGTCACATTAATTGATTTTCAAATGTTAAGACCAACCACACTTGGGCCTGATGTATTATGCCTTGTGTACATGGTTGGATTCTATGGGTTAAAATTTGTTTAGAAAGGCTGTGTGTGTATTCATGAGAAATATGGCCTGTAGCCTTCCTTTTTTTTGGTAATATCTCTTTTGCCTCTGAATCAAGGTAACATTGGCCTTATACAATGAGCTGGGAAGTATTCCCTTCTTGTCAATTTTCTGGAGAATTTTATGCATTATATTTTCTTTAAATGCTTTGGGTAATTCACCAGTGAAGCCATCTCTCCTGAAGTTTTTTTTGTGAGTATGGCGAAGTTTTTATTTGCAAATTTAACTGATATAGGGCTACTTAGGTTCCCTGTTTCTTCTTAAGTGAACTTTGGTACCTTGTGTTTTTCAAGCTGTTTGTTTATTTAATGTAAGCTGTTAAGTTTATTGGCACAAAGTTGTTTGTAATATTTTCTTACACTTTGAAGCTCTGTAGAATATGTAGTGATGTCACCACTCTCATTCTGGATATTTTTAATTTGTGTCTTATCTTATTTTTCCTGATCAGCTTGAGTAGAGATATATCAATTTTATTGATGCCCTCAAAGAAGCAGTTTTTGGTTTCACTGACTTTCTTTCTCTTTCCCCCCACCAAACCCATTTTTTTTTCACTGTTTTCTGTTCTGATCTTTATCATTTCCTTTATTCTGTTTATTTTGTGCTTAGTTTATTATTATATTTCTGGTTTCTTCGTATGGAAGCTGATTTCATTGATTTAAGGCCTTTCTTCTTTCCTAACATAGGTGTTTGATGCTATGAATTTCTCTCTAAGTATTGCTTTAGGGAAATCCCACAATTTTTGATATGTTGTGTTTTTATATTGATTTTAAAACATTTTCTTATTACTCTTCTGATTTCTTGTTTAATGGGTTATTTAGAAATGTGCTGTTTCCAAATAGCTGGAGATTTCCCAGATATCTTACTCTTTTATTAATTTCATTTTAATTCTATTGTGATCAGAAACATACTTTGTATTGCCTTTAATTCTCTTGAGTGCAGACTCATTGTATGGTCTAGAATATGTCTCGTGAGTGCGGTTTCCAGGCTCCCCTACGTCCGGCGCTGGCTGTTGCTTGTGGCCTTTCACCTCTTCACGCCCCGTAGCGTCTTTGGTTTTGTGCTGAAGATCACAGCTGAAGCAAAATTTGAAGGAATGCTTGGCACTCTGATGTTGTCTTCCTCCAGGATGGATTTTTGCTGGTTTTCACTTCTTCCCGACCCATGGTGGCGCTGGTTGTCTACGGTCCCGTGCTGCCAAGGTCAAAGTCTGCGCTTCGTGCTCTGATTGTCCTGGACCCCAGGGAGCTGGGTCTTGTGTGAATCACCCTCATACCCTGCGTGCTGCCCCTTCCCAGGCAGGCTGTGGGTTTGCAGGGTCACCGTGTCAGTGGGGTCTGCGGGGCCTCAGTTCCTGAGGGCTGAGTCAGGGCTCCCCTGCCAGACTCCAGTGGTCTGCAACCCCCCAGCCTGGCAGTTCCTCACTGAGCCTTGTCCCTTTGGTGCTTTTGAGATGAAAACGTCGTTCACTCCCCGTATCTGCTTGTCCTCCAGGAAAGCAGTAATTTGAAGTGCTCAGTTCTCCAGCCTGGGTCTCCTCCGAATCTCTGGTACTCTTGTTTAGACATCAGATCTCCCGGCCAAGTCCTCGATCCATGTTCTGGGAAGTGTCTTTGGGCTGCTGTGCCCCACGTGAGTGTCCTTGGTTCTGGGCATGTGTAGGATAGCTCCTCAGAGAAGTTCTGCCCAAGCTCCTGTCTGGAGGGACCAGGGCCAGAGCTGGGGCCTCTCTTTCCCTCAGACGTCTGGATGTGTCTTCCCTGGGCCTCTGTCTCTGGAGTTCTGAAGGGTCACACTGGGCTTTGCGGCCTTCCCTAACCCCCCCATTTTCAGCCCCTAGTGAGCTACACTAAAGCCTTCAACTGTGTAGATCATAACAAACCATGGAAAATTCATAAAGAGATGGGAA